TAACTCTACTCTGTCGCTCTACTGTAACTCTACGCAGTTTCTCTGCTCTAACTTTACTGTAACTCTACGCAGTCGCTCTACTGTAACTCTACGCAGCCGCCCTGCTCTAACTCTACACGGCCGCCCTACTGTAACTCTACGCAGCCGCCCTGCTCTAACTCTACGCGGTCGCTCTACTGTAACTATACGCGGTCGCTCTGCTCTAACTCTACGCGGTCGCTCTGTTCTAACTCTACGTCTAACGCTACTGTGACTCTACGCAGTCGCTCTGCTCTAACTCCATGCAGTCGCTCTACTGTAACTCTACGCAGTCGCTCTGCTCTAACTCCATGCAGTCGCTCTACTGTAACTCTACGCAGTCGCTCTGCTCTAACACTACTGTAACTCTACGCAGTCGCCCTGCTCTAACTCCACGCAGTCGCTCTACTGTAACTCTACGCACACGCTCTGCTCTAACTCTACGCAGTCGCTCTACTGTAACTCTACGGAGTCGCTCTGCTCTAACTCTACGCACACGCTCTGCTCTAACGCTACTTTGACTCTACGCGGTCGCTCTGCTCTAACTCTACGGAGTCGCTCTGCTGTAACTCTACAGAGTTGCTCTACTGTAACTCTACGCAGTCGCTCTGCTCTAACACTACTGTAACTCTACGCAGTCGCTCTACTGTAACTCTACGCAGTTGCTCTGCCTCTGCTCTAACTCTACTGTAACTCTACGCGGTCGCTCTGCTCTAACTCTACGGAGTCGCTCTGCTGTAACTCTACGCAGTCGCTCTGCTCTAACACTACTGTAACTCTACGCAGTCGCTCTACTGTAACTCTACGCAGTTTCTCTGCTCTAACTTTACTGTAACTCTACGCAGTCGCTCTACTGTAACTCTACGCAGTTGCTCTGCTCTAACTTTACTGTAACTACGCAGTTGCTCTGCTCTAACTTTACTGTAACTCTACGCAGTCGCTCTACTGTAACTCTACGCGGCCGCCCTGCTCTAACTCTACGCGGTCGCTCTACTCTAACTCCACGCGGTCGCTCTACTCTAACTCCACGCGGTCGCTCTACTCTAACTCCACGCGGTCGCTCTACTATAACTTCACGCGGTCGCTCTACTGTAACTCCACGTGGTCGCTCTGCTCTAACTCTACGCGGTCCTCTCCTCTAACTCTACTGTAACTATGCAGTCACTCTACTGTAACTCCACGCAGTCGCTCTACTGTAACTCAACGCGGTCGCTCTACTGTAACTCTACGCGGTCGCTCTACTGTAACTCCACGCGGTCGCTCTACTGTAACTCTACGGAGTCGCTCTACTGTAACTCTACGCAGTCGCTCTGCTCTAACACTACTGTAACTCCACGCAGTCGCTCTGCTCTAACTCTACGCGGTCGCTCTACTGTAACTCTACGCAGTCTCTCTACTGTAACTCCACGCAGTCGCTCTACTGTAACTCCACGCGGTCGCTCTACTGTAACTCTACGCGGTCGCTCTACTGTAACTCCACGCGGTCGCTCTACTGTAACTCTATTCGCTCTGTGTACCTGGAACTCCAGCGTGCACTTGGTGCCGACGGTGATGTCCTCATAGAAGCACTGCTTGGCGTTGTCTGGCAGCTCGAAGGTGAGTTCTGACGCGCGGATCCAGCCGAACATCAGCGGCGCACACAGCAGCAGAAACCAGGCCAACATGTTCTCCCTCAGGTCCGCTGAACCACCACTGCACAGAGCTGCGGCGAGAGACAGATTCCCGTCAGAAACAGCAGCTCGCAGCCAGCGTGCAGAGATTATGATTATATATGCAGCAGATCACCGAGGCGCGGCGAACCCGGATGTGGATCAAGCGGCGTTTACGCGACGCGAGCTCGCGCTCAGCGCGTACAAACACCTCCGTGAGCGCAAATGTGACAATATAGATCAATTTGCTGTTCTAAATCATCAGCTTTACAGCGAATAACGATGGATAGTGATGAGTGCGGCTTACCTCGAAAGCGAACCGGAAGCAGGAAGTTGTTTGACGCCTGACAATGCACGTACGTGCGTAACTACGTCACAGAACGTCACCGTGGCTTTTCCGCAGTCTTAGTATAAAATTGTTCATTATCCACAAATGCACGATTATGAAGTTACCCCCACTTTTCTCACATTCAAGAACACATTCAAATCTATATTAAATCTCTGTCTACCTCCTGTAGCAAAAAGGCAACAAAAACTTTTTGAACGTATGCTCACTTTTTGGTGTTTTTGTATACTTTTTAATATAATAATTTATGTTTTGTAGGAAAGATTGTTATGTTTATTGTTATGTGATCTTCTGATTTCATTTAGATATATTTTTATGATATTTTTGTTGTTGTCAAAATTGTTATATAAAAACGAGGTTATATGAAGAATAGTATTTCTTCAATGGCTTCGGCTCATTTTTTGAAACGGTCTCAACATGAATTTGTCACAGCTGTCTAAAGGGAAAGTGCAGTAACTCATCAGAACATTTAACTCATGCTTCAAAACCTACTTCAATTGGCCAGTGTCACCAAAACTCAAATGTTGTTGTCATCAAATGCTGAGATGTGTTTTTAGCAAGCCCTGGAAATATTTCTTATATGCAAACTTTATTTTTGTTGATACAGGCTGCTTATGACATGCAAACATAAAAATCACATTTGCATATGCATTTTTACACATTTCTTACATATATAGTCAAACAGTCATCCACAACTGCTTCCACTTGATTGCTAAGATTGAGATTTCTGTTCCATTACTACGGCAGGTTTAGCAAACATCACACATATTCCACTGATAGATATTTATGAATATGCATGTGTGACAGATTTTGATGAGTGAGTAGATGCTTTTGCATGTGAAGATGACACTGTTCAGAAGAGTATTAGTTGTTGTGCTCATTTCAGATGATTGCATTTACTCTTACGCCAAAACACACTCAAGAACTTCAAATCTGATGAGAACCTTGACAGAATGTTCACAAAAACTAAATGTAGAATTAAGCCAAAGCGGCTGAGTAAAGTGTGTGTGTGTGTGTGTGTGTGTGTGTGTGTGTGCGTGAGTGTGTG